AATAATAATATTTGGTGGAATATTTTCATAAAATATAAAAAGTCTTCAAGAATATTTTCATAAAATATTCATTCTTGAATAGGACTATTCCCACTAAATATTGTATTAATAAAAATAAGATTAATTATGTAGAGTAGTTAACAACTCCAAACCACCATAATTAATTTATTCTTATTAATATAAAATAATAATTCTTGAAAACAATTTTTCAAGACTTTATTATTTTAATCTTTTGTCCCATCTCCTAATTTAATAATCATATTATTATTTGGATTTGAAACTTAAAATATAATTTTAAATTCCAACTATTTATTTAGTAATTTCATTAATTACTAAATTAATATCCAAAAATACAATTAATCAATCTAATTGATTAATTTAATATATTCCTTTAATTGACTTCTAATCAAATTAGTTTTGTCAATTAATTCTAACTCTTTAGATATTACTATTTGAAGTTTACCTTCATTCAAAAATTGGTGTGACCTTTTAGGTTTACAATTAATACTAGTAGTGGGCTTACAACTCTTTGTAATTTGAATTAATCTAATTAATTCTTATCATGAAATTAACTCCTTAATTTCAAGAACCCACATATCATGGGAACATCTAGCAAGTAGCATGAATCTAGTATTAAGTGAATAGCGAGTAAACCTATTTCGATTACAAGTCCATACATGTAAAATCCTTTCGACATCCAATTTCCCGATTAAATCTTGGGTATGATTTTGTCGAAACCCAAGTTTATTTAATAACTATGATTCCATTTCAAGTTTAGTAATTCGTTTATGAATCTCTATTCATCCCGCCTTGGCCAAGGACTTTGAATTACTAACTATGAAACACATAGGAAATTCACATATCTTCATACGTGTCGAATCCTTTGTTGGCCACTGACAAACTTCCATACATATTAATATAATACCCAAAATATCCCTTTATACGATTGTGCTAGCAACCAAAAGGATAAACCAAAATAAAATATAATATGCACAAAGTTACCATCGTGCCTCAAGTCTAAGGATTTTAGGAACCTAGGATTTTTACAAACACAATGGCGCTGACCTTGTGTCGATCGGACTTGTAGATTGATAGTTATGATTTTTCGAACGTTATAATTGCTGTTTAGATTGAAAAATTCATTATAAATCGAATACTGGTCCGATTTCCTTGAAATTTGAGGAGCATCTTTGTTTGGTGAGTATGTAGCTGCTGTAAAATTTTCATGATTTGTAAAGGTATTTAGCTATTTTTAAAAATTAATTCGAATTCTGTTCAGTTTCTTGTAAAATTCATAAGTAATTTTGTGGTGTTCTTTTCTGGCTGATTTTCGAATATGTTGTGTCTCAGGCATGATTATATGTTGTATAAAAATTTTAGAATTTTTGAACTGGGTTTGGTAGAGTTAATGATTTATTTGGTGTTTCTGCCCGATTTTGTTTTAATTGTTATAAATTGTGCTGAAGCTGAAAAATTCTGAAAATTTGTGGAGGTGCTTATTAAGTAATGTTCAGCATGCTGTAAAAAGTTTAGAAATTTTGGAGTTCATTTGAGGTCGGTTCTGTTATAAGTGCAATACTTGGCTGAATGTTGTTTTAATTTTATAAAATCACTTGCTGAGTGTTAAAGCCTGGTATTTTTATATGTTGTTCCTATGCTTTAAAATTTCAGATAAAAATTTTATGGCCTGAATCGTTCATTATCATGTGTTTCTAATTTAGACTCGTTTTTATCGAAAAACTTATTTGAATTTTATAAAATTGTGTTTAACGATTTTGAGGCTGAAACTTGGTATTTTTGCTAAACTCTAAGAGGTGAATTTTGCGTAAAATTTTCAGAGCTTAACTCGTTCGGATGATATACCTTCTAATTCAAGTGTGAATTTGAGAAATTGTTTTTCTATACTAAAGGTTGTTAAGTGTTGTTGACTAAATGTGCTACGTGTTTATTTGTGACCTGTTTGACTGGCATTCATTGGTGATTATGTGAAATTGAATGTGTGGTGATCGAGTCTAAGTCCTAGAGTTTCCATATCCACAGAACTTCATGAACCACTTGGTCGAACCGAGTTCGACTAAGTCAAATTGTGATTTTGCTAAATGGGTCTAGAGTAAAGTGTTGACTTTAGCACCTGGACTTATGTAGGTGTCGAGAGGTGTTGAACCTCGCCTCGTCTCGAGATTTGTGATTTGAACTGTAGCTGCTATCAGGTGGGTACATTTATGATGTATTCCATATTTATCGCACTCCTTATTTCGTGTAATATTTCTTTGAAAATTTTTGTATGCATGAGAACTCTAGTCTAAGTTTCTCGAACGCTAGTGCCTTGATGAATGCGAAAGCAGTGGAAGTCGCGTGCCCGTCGTATCCGGGAGGTGGACGCCCGAATCCGTGTAGAGCGGAGGGGATTGTCTGAATACTCGAATCCGTGTAGAGCGGAGGGGTGATTCAACTTCACTGTCTCCTGGAAAAGATCCCATGTACCGTCGTATCCGGGGGTGGGAAGGTTTCCAGTTACAGCCATGCCGTCGTATCCGGAAGGTTGTTGTATGTACATAGGAGGTTTGCGATAGGGCCGGGTAGGGGGTTTAGGCTATGAATTCTATGCATACCGGTATTGATATTGTGCACTGCGATTACTTGTTTGTAAAATTATTATACGGAATAATCGTGCGATAATGGTGAGCTTGTTGGTTGCTCACCCCCATTATTTTTTTGTTGTTTTCTCTCTTCCTTTGTTTTAGGTTGAGACGAGCTGGCGGTGGCGTAGGACGAGCGAGATGGTGGTCATTATGTGTTGAAAACCTATGCTTCCGTATAAACTGGATATTTATTTATTTGCTATTGCACTTGGATTATTTGTTTACTACTTTCACTTTTCGAACTATGTTAAGTTGGTTGAACCTTGAATAATGCTAGACCTTTTGAAATGGTTTTTGAGACTTATGTTTTATGGATTTGTTATATCGTTAGCTCGAGCATGTATAGGTTCCTTGAATTGTTGGATGTGTGTTGATTGTTGTTGTTAGTAAGTAGCGCCCGTTTCTCGATAAAAGTTTTAACTTGGACTTTTAAAAAAAAAAACTCTGATTTTTATTAATTAATTCGATAAATTTTTAAAATAAAACGGGGCGTTACACATTTGCTGAATGGTGTGATTAATGCATGCGTATGAACCATGTAACCCTCGTTGTGAGCTGTATGTCCTTCCGATTCAGGAATTAGAATTTCCTTTTTCGCAGTGACTCCCACTCTTCATGTTGAACGGGTCATCTCTGTGAAAGTCGCCATTGGATCATCACCATGGCTTCCGTCTACGCGTTTATCGCCTCGCCCCGTCGAGGTTGGTCCACATCCACCGGATCAATCAATGAATAATATAAAACAACAATTACATAATTTACCATATGACCCGCGCAGGAGTCGTACATGAGTTTTCTATGAAAGCAATAAACTATGCGGTGTCCCACCGTGCGAATAATTTATTACAAGCATTCACCAACCCAAAAACTCCTCGACATGTTCGAGGCTTATATAACGACATATATGAATTAAAATCACACATACATACGGGCCATAATAGTCAGATTGAAGAATACCTGCAAACAACACTTATTTGCAATTCTAATCATTATGCGCTGCGCCCGTACATAATTAATTCACATATATCACGGAAGTCCTAATTCGAATAGTGCATAAAGACGAATTAGCCTGGTCTCTGATACCAGTTGTTGGGTTCTATTAGAAACGTCGGCAATGTGCACATTCAAATCTATTGAGTAATAAATCCTAACGCAGCGGAATCTATAGTTAGGATTAGGACTTACGGTTTAAAATTTTTGCCGACTCTGAGTCGTTTCTGATTTACGTTGATGGAGATCGTCTGTCTACCACAACCCAATCGGTTGAAGGGTTTGGCCTTTGTCGACTCTAGTAGAGTGTAGAATCACGAACGGATTGCCTCGGACTTTCTGTATGTGAACCGGACTCCTCGGACAGCTCGAAAACCATCTTGGACACGAAACGGGCTAACTGGGTCAAGCCAAACTGGGTCGGGCCAGTCTGGACCGGGTCGGGTCGGGTCTGGGCCGGATTGGCTGGACCGAGTCGGGTCTGGTCACTGGGCACGAGGGTTGGCTTGTTGGGCCGCGACTGTCCCGTTGGGTCGGGTCTGGGTGCGCTGGTGCTGGATCTCACGCGCACAGACACAGGGGCACGCGGGTGTGTCGGGTCGAGACGCATGTGCGGTGCGGGACTCCTATGCGTGGAAGGACTAGGCACGCGCGAAGAACACGGGCAGGGTCACCACACACGCAGAACGCACAAGAAGTTCACTGGCAGCGCGCGGTGGGGAGTGATGCACACGGGGTCGCGCAGGGTCACTGATGTCGGGCATGGTCGCTGTCTGCACGGGTCTCCGAGCACCTGAGAGGTGCGGTGTGGCTTTGCATGGGTTGTGCAGTATGGGACAGGCCTGGGCGCGGCAAGGTATTATTATTATTATTATTATTATTATTATGTGCCTAAATATTATTAAATGTCTAATTGTAATTAATTGCTTAAATGATTATTTTTATTATTAATATCATTATGATATTTATTTTAAAATAATGTGTGTAATAAAATTGATATTATCCGGATTTTTTATTTGATTTATCGTGCGAGCATATCGAGCTGTTGAAATATTAAACCGAGCCTGAGAGCCGGATTATTTTTGGCGAAACCCGCATGGACCGGCCCGGACGAATCGAACCCACGCCTCGAACCGACCCGACCCGACCCGACCCGCCTCCTTATTTCTTGTGTGGAAAGACTTGTACCCTAAATTTTTCGCCCACAGCCTTTCTGTTTCATAAATTTGCTCTCTCGCTCATCTCATCGTCATCTTACCTCGCGACCTCCCTTGGCAGAAAAAGAGAAATCCGTCGCACCTTCTCCATCAATCTCTCTCTCCCTTACGATATCAACAGAACAAGAAATCCCGCAGTCCTCTTGTTATCTCATCTCTCGTCTCCCTCAGCAGAAAAGTAGAAAATCTCCCTCTCATTGACCCTGCGTGTGAGAAGTCGCTGGCGAGCCCTTCTCCACCGCGAGCTCTTCTCCTTCGCGAAGCCGCTGCCCTCCGCCGTCGCAGACCTCGCCCCTTCATCTCTGTCGCGCAACCACCATCCTCCTCTCGCCATCATCGCAGGCCCTCCATCCGGCGACCCTGCAACTCCTCCGCCGCTCGCAACACCGCCGCGACCTCCAGAAAGTTGTATCCCGTGCAACTCGCCGGAAAGGTTTCCAGTTACTTCCTTGCCGTTGTATCCAGAAAGTTGTTGTATGTACATAGGAGGTTTGCGATAGGGCCGGATAAGGGTTTAGACCTTGGATTCTATGCATACTGTTTATGGTGATTCTGATTTAAAATCTTTTATGCGATATAAATTGTGCGATAATGGTGATGCTCACCCCCATTATTTTTCTGTTGTTGTCTTCTCTTCCTTTCTTTAGGTTGAGATGAGCTGGAGGCGGTGGCGTAAAGACGAGCGAGATGGTGGTCATTCAATGGATGTGTCTTTTGCTTCTGCCTGTTTTCAATTATGATGAACTACTTGCTTTCATTTTGAATTATTTATGTTTCCGTTTGAATTGGATTATTTATGCTTCTGCTTGAAACCATGAATTTATGTTAAACTTTTTGGAAGATGTTGAGACTTATGAATAAGTTGGATTATTTTTTTAAATGTTGGCTTATGCATGTGTAGGTTCTATCTATTTGTCGTAAGTGTTTAAGTGTTGCCACTCCTTATTGTTTTATGCTTGTTTTAAAATTTAATTTGATATTTTGAAAAAAAAAATAACTCTGATTTTTATAAATAAATTCGGTAAATTCTTTAAAATAAAACGGGGCGTTACAGCCGAGTTCCTGCGACTGCCGGCGGCTGCGGACGGCGGCGGTGACTGGCCGGAATGAAGATGAGGACCTCCGCCGCCGGGAATGAACCTGAGGGAAGAAACACCTATTACCCTACCTGGGGTGAAGATGCAAGTGTTGACCCAAGGAGCGACAAGTCAAAACATTGAACCCTAACCCAGGTGTTTCAGAGAAGGAGCTAACAGAGATGCCTCGACGTGAGGGAAAACAAATTCAAGAAGTGCCGGAGCAGACACAAACACAACCCCACGTCGAGGAGCAAACGGCGACGATGGCAAAGAGTGAGATGCAAAAGATGATTGCCGAAGCTGTAGCTGCCTAGATAAGCAAATGGGGCGAGTCGAGCAAATCCCTTAGGTCGTGCAGCATCAGAGAGTCGAACAACAGCCTCGCGTCGAGCAGCAGGCCCAGTCAAACGAGCAACATAACAGGAGGGTGGACGAGGAAGAGTCCTCCATCAGAACCATTAATCCGCAAGCAAGAGACGAGACATTGGAGCAGTTGATGGCCCAGGTTCACGACTTTCAAACTCGAGTTGGAGGCAAGAAGAGCAATGGAGCGAAGGAACACCCATTCTCGCGACACATTCTGAGGGCCGACTTACCTCAAGGCTTTAGGGAGTTGAACATATGGTACGATGGCTCCACTGACCCGTCTCGACATCTGAGAAGCTTTGAAAACATGGCGGTGCTCCATCGCTACAGTGATCCTGTGCAATGTCGTGCTTTTCTGACAACTTTGATGGGGTCAGCTCAGGATTGGTTCCATCAATTACCAGCTGGGTTGATTCAAAACTTTGATGGCTTCAATTCGAGTTTTCTCAATCAATTTGCAAGTGTTAGAGTGCAGGAGAAATCCTATCTCTCATTGATCAGCATGCAACAAAAGACGGGGGAGTCGCTACGAGACTATGTGGCAAGGTTTACGAGAGCATGTGTCGACGTGCCCATAGCGACAGAGGAAATCAAGTCGGGAGGATTGACGAGAGGGCTGCTGCCACGATTGTGCGAAAATTCTTTGGCGAAACGACCTGGTAGGAGCTTCGATGAAGTCATGGGGAAATGTGCGAAATACATGAATGACGAGGAAGCAGAAGCCGACTACTTGCAAAGCACGAAGGTGGCCCAGATGGAGAGTCGAGATGATAAGAAGGAGAAAAAATCCCACTCGACGGAGGAAAGGAGAGGATCCCCGCGAGCAGAGAGAGAGGGACGATCTAGGGGATAGAGGCCAATTCAATACACACCCCGGTCGGCTCCTCATGCGAGAATATTGGAAGTGATGGAAAGGGAATCCGTGATGATGTGGATGGACCTGTGAAGCCCTAAAGCAATCTGTATTGTTGATTCCACAAGGACTATGGGCATAACACCGAAGACTGCAGACACCTCAAAGACGAGATCGAGAGGTTAATCAAAGCTCTTCATTTAAAGGAGTTCATATACAAAGATCGCGAAAGGTCGTGCAGAAGGAGGGAAAGAAGTAAGAGTCCGCGCGAGAGGGTGAGATCACCAGAGAAGGAGGAACTCCCCCCGAAAAGGGGAGTAATTCACATGATATTTGGAGGGTCGACAGACGGAGACTCGAATCGAGCAAGGAAGGTGTATGCTCGAGGTCGATATGCAAGAAGCGAGGTACAACAAGTCGATGAAAATGGTCCAGTGATGAACATTGGACCTGCCGATGTGGAAGAAGTCGAGAGGCCACACAATGATGCCCTGATGATAACGACGCAAGTATCGGGATACAAAGTACAAAGAGTGTTTTTCAACATAGGGAGTTTTGTGAACGTGATTTTTTATGACTGTCTCAAAAGGATGGAGCTCGATATTGAGCTCACACTTCAACACACATCACTCTTTGGATTCAACGGGTCGGAAGTCGCACCCTTAGGAGAAACCACGCTTGTTGTCGTCCTGGGAGAGGGTGACTTGAGGCAAGTAAAGATGGTGAGGTTCGTCGTGGTCGACATTGAGTCGGCTTACAATGTGATTCTAGGGAGGCCAACACTCAATGCTTTTCAAGCAGTAGTATCGACTTATCACATGAAGCTGAAGTTCCCCGTCGGAGATCGAATAGAAGAGGCTCGAGGGGACCAAAAGTTGTCGAGAACTTGTTATCAAATTACAGTAAAAACCAATCAATGGGCTGGAATCAAGGAATTAAAAAAACCAATGTCGAGTGAGAAGAGGCCGAGAGGGAGTGATCTCGAGCCACACGGAAAACTGATGGAGATCCGAATCGGAGAAAGGGAAGATCAAACTACCAAAGTCGGGAGGGAATTGGAAGACGAGTTACGAAATCAATTGGTCGAGTTGTTGAAGGAATTCAGGGACATATTTGCCTTTTCCCTTGAGGAACCGACAGGAATCGACCCGGAGGTCATGGAACACAAGCTCAATGTTGATCCCTTGCGAAAGCCAGTAAAGCAGCGACTTAGACATCATGGAGCTGAAATCGACAAAGCCATTGAAGTCGAGGTGGACAAGCTGTTGAAAGACAAGCACATCAAAGAAATTCAATTCCCAGAGTGGATATCCAACACAGTAATGGTGAGGAAAGCATTAAACAAGTGGCGTATGTGTATCGACTTCCGCGACTTAAACTTAGCGTGCCCAAAAGATCATTATCCTTTACCGAGAATCGACCAGCTGGTCGACTCCACTGCTGGCTGCGAGTTGCTGAGTATGATGGATGCATCCCCAGGGTATCACCTGTAACGCCCCGAATTGGTAATAATATTAAGAACGGTTTCACTGCTCGACTATAAGTGAAATTCGTAATTTTCAGAAATATCCGAGTTATGTCTATATGCTAAATGCTCAATTATGTTAGATTATCCTTTGGAAATTTATATGTCAAGTTAAGGCCAAGATCAATCCATTAATTTGGATTGATAATTGATATCTAATCGACTCGAGAAATTATTGGCTTCGAACCCTAGTTTCGTTTCGAGTCATTTTTCCAAGTCATTTCCGAGCATAGTCGAGCCTTGGTATCTTGATACTTAGAATATTTTCTAAGTGTACTGAAGCCCTAGACCTTTGCTCGAGCCTTAGCCATTCCGTAGCCACTCGTGCCCGAGGTCCATGAGCACGGCCATGCGCGCCCATTCCGAGCCTAGGCTCACCCCAGCCTTGTCCAAAGCCTAGCACATCATTTCATAAATTTTCTTAAGTGTTGAAAGCACCATATTCAGCCATTAGCAAGCCCTTCACAATCGGCCCAAGGAATTCACGCGAGCATGCCCGCAGCCCGCGCGGCCCATACAGTCCTCACGTCAGCCCAACAGGCCGCGGCCAGCAGCCACCTTCCGAGCCCATTTCCAAGAGTTTCGGCCCATTTTCCTCATGACCCAAATGCTACGGTTATTAAGACCTAATGAAGGTTTAATTCAGCTTAAGTTCCCCTGACAAAGGTTTAACCAAAGTCAAAGAGCAAGGGCATTAGTTTAAGTGTAGTGCATGATGGGCAACACATTATATTATTAAAAAATGGAAGGCTTTGTCTCCACTACCTAGCATCAGACCGACCAGACCTGCTCCCAACCCATAATGCTCTGCAAAAGCTAACCAAAAACCCATGCAAACTCCACCAAGTCGTGCAAGACTTTGCCCTCAACCCATGCGCATGAAAGAGTGGGATAAGTACACTTATCTTGTCTCCATTGACCCCTCATTGTTACCTCTGCCCCTAACCCTTTAAAAGGCTCATTCCTCAGCCATGTTCCAACTCTTAGACTCTTGGTTACTCGAGCACTTAGTGAGGATTTGAGAGAAAAGTCGAGTATATCTTACCTTAGCCTTACCGCACGCGCGCGACCCGGGGGAGAGGTAGTAGAGGCCATTTCGTGTACCAAGCTATATCTCACGAGGCTTAGCAACTTCTAAGTATTTCTTAGACTTATCTAGTCTTTTGAGTCCATCAAAGCTCAGCCAAATCGTCCCGAACCAAGCCAAACCACTAAAGGTCATGACCTAGCCCGAGCAAAGCCCTAGCAACCATTTTTCTATTTCGGTGAAGGTTAGCTCGAGCTATCTTTTTCCCTCAGCCTATTTATGATATTTTAGGATTTTTCATGTAGTAATATCAAGCCATGCACGTAAAAATTCATGAGTTTTTAATTTTAAGAATTAATGGCCTTAATTTCGAATTTTTAGCTCCATGCATGGAAATGCCGAGTTTGATAGCTCAATGTGCCTCATTTATCATAAGATTGATAGTGTATAAGTTTGAGCATGTTTGGAGTCCGTTGGCACAGTCATCTTGTTCATGAATTTGTGTCATTT